TTTTTTTTTTTTTAATTTTTATTTTTTGAGACAGAATCTTGCTCTATAATTTGAGCCTTGAACTCACTATGTAGCCCAGGCTGACCCTGAACTCATGGTGATCCTCCTGCCTCAGTTTCTACAGTCCTGGGATTATAGGCATGCACTACCATGCCTAGCTTCTGTCCTTTAAGGATAGTTCTGGCTGAAAGAATCTTAGAATAGGACTTTATATTTTCAGAGACTTACATTGTAGTGTTTACTGATGAAATATGTCCTAAGTTTCCTTAGTTCTAGTGTGAAGTAGGGAACGTGATGAAAAAAAAAGAGTAGCTAGGAGTATATAATTTGTGTTGAAATTTACCATAAGAAACAATTTATAAATAACTGTAGATAGTAGTCCTACTTTACGCTAGAGGTAGGTTCCTATTATCACTAGAGATGAATCATAGGCTTGCTCTAAAAACTGACAGATTCTATTTATATTCTAACCTTTGTCTAGGTCTTACACAGTCTTCTCTGCAAAGGCCTCCAACAGTTTTTTCAGAGTATTTCCAACCTTGCCATTCAGGATGAAATAATAGGAAAATGCAAGAAGCCAAGAGCAGTTGTGCAGGCTTACAGTTCCAGTTTCTTGGGAGGCTAAAGAGGAAAATCACATAGCCAGAAACTCAAAAAAACCTGTAAACTTTAGTGTGGACCAACAATGGATGGGTAGTTACAGGTAAACAAATAAAGGAGCCTACTATATAGGTATAACAGGATGGAGATGGGAAGGGCACAGTTAAGTGCCAGATTTAGCCAAAAGGTAACCAGAAGCCAGAACTGGGCCTGCTTTACCCAGACTTCAGCCCTTATTCTACTCCTAGGATGTCATGACACCAAGGCTTAGAGAGGCTCAGTCACTGATTGAATGTACAACAAGATCTCACATAGTGCGAGCAATGTGTGCTAAGAGATTCACTCTTTCTAGGCCTCCACATGTTAGAGGACATACCTCTTTGTTTTTCATTTTCAAGATTGGATCTTGAATGACCTCTGAAGGGCCCTATGTTGAAGGCTTGGTCTCCAATCCATGTGCTAACAGAGGTTGTGGAACCTTTAGGAAATGGATTGCAGTGGAAGAAAGTTATATTATGTATGGGGGGGGGAACGGTCCTGAGGCGATATTGAAATCCTGGCACTTCATGTACTCCTGGCCACCATGGGTCAACCAACCAACCATGGACTAACACTGTGAGTCCAAATAAAATTTTCCTTTCTTAAAGCTGATTGAGCTAGGGAAAGGACGGGACGATGTCTTCTAAGAGTTAGGGAGATGGAGAAAAGCAAACAGTGCCTACGTGGCAGGTGTAAGATCCTGAGTTCAAGGCGTAGTACCAAATAAATAAACAAATAAATGTGATTTTTCTTTTTTCGCAAAGACAGAGTCTTGCTATGTAATTCAGACTGGCCTCTCACAAGTATTCCCAAATGATGGGATTACAGATATGAACCACCACACCCAGCTTTTTGGGGTATATTTTGTTACAGTGATAAAAAGCTAATAAAGCACCTTGTAGAGAAGAATGAAACCACAGAGTATCAAAGCAGAAGTCCACAAACTATAGCCTATGAGTCAAAAATGGTCTGCTGCCTGTTTCTGCAAATAAAGTTTTACTGGAGCACAACTACAACCATATATTTATGTACTTCACTGCTTCAGGGCCACACTGGTAGAAATGAATAGCTGTGTAAACTCTGCCCAAAATATTAACTTTTTGTTTTGTTTTTTGAGACAGTGTCTCATTATGTAACCGAGGCTGCTTCAGCCTCCTAGTACAGGCATGTGTCACTATACCTGACTTCTAACTCTATAGAAAAAGTTCACTATCCTGACTTAGAAAAACATTTAGACTGCATAATGCAGTCTTAAATCAGTGAAAGAAGAAAAAAAATGGAAAATATTTTATACATACTTTTCTATATCATATCTATAGTGCTATTGCAACTTTTGATTATAGAAATGGCTAAACTGCAAATATGAGCTTATCAGAGGGTGCTAGACTCACAAATCACCAAATGCAAAAAGCAGGGAGGAGAATCTGTATTCTGAGTTCCTTGAGATTACTGTTTGCTTTTCTCTATTTCCCTAACCCTTAGAAGACATCGTCCCGTCCTTTCCCTAAGAAAGCAGCAACCACAATAGTTTCCTTCACAGCAGTAATACGACCTGCAGGAAGAGGCTGTCTGGGTTGATAACTAGACACAGCACATTCAGCCCAGGACACCCTAAGGATCAGGCAGATGGGCTCCTCTACTAAGTGTATCAGTCAAGTTCCCAAAACCAAGTAAAAAAGAAAATACCAACCACATGTTACATTTTGTGTACATCACCAAGGGCATCTTCATTGCCCACAGCCAAGGACCTCTGTCTATATCCAATGACTACCTTTCTTTCACCTTTAATGGCTCCAGCACACCCTAGCTACCATCCAATCAACTGCTTGCTAGGACTCCGCTGTGCCCCTCTGCTTTACAATCTCGAAGCCCTCCCGTGCTTCCTCAAGTGTGATAGCTTCTGCAGCAGAATGCAGCAGCATCTGCTTGCTAAGGATTTAAGTTTAAGCTTCCAAAAACACAAATGGGAAAATGTCAACAACACAGGCAACAGTTTTCAAGGACAAGTCTATCTGGTCCAGATTACTGCTGCAAGGAGAAAGGAGAGCAGTCTGGCCAAGCACCTCTGGCTCTGGAGTAAGCTCCAGCGCATACAAATGCTCCTATGGAGAAAGAAATGACAGAAAAGAAGCCTAGGATTATAGGAGGATTCAGAGCCAAGCCCACCCAAGTGTGTCACAGAGACACAGCTACAAATCCAGACTGGAAACATAGCTGACAACATGCATTCTTCTTGCTTCATAGGTTCTTTTCCCTTGTCCCTTTGCCCAACACAAGCTTGAGCACCACACCACACCACCTGACCAGAGGCTGCCACATAATTGGCTACAGACCAGCTAAGCCCATTCTATGGACTCCCAGATCTGATGCCAAATGGTGGAGGCAGAGACGAGAGAGGCACTGATTCTGAAACCCTTCTCTGTCCTCTCAAAGGGCATATACTTGGTGTTACTGAAAGGTCACATCAGTGTCTGTGGGGCTGCAGAGCACTGGAAGACTTTGTAAGGCAGGAGAACACAGTGTGCTCTGGGGTGGATGGATCAGTTGGCTGTGACAGGACAGGACCAAGAAAGGGAGGCAGCCATCCTGGTAGCTTGTCCTTGGGCCTCTCAACCCCTGGGGCCAGGGGATGGGTTAGTGCTGTACATGCACACTTGCTTTGAATCTTTATCAGCAGGATCCCTGGGAAAGAAATGGCAACATCCTTACATTTCAGATGAGGAGGCAGGATTGGGGGTTCCACAACGCACCTAAGATTGCACAGCTCTCACGTGGTAGGGCCAAGGTATGAACATTTTCTTTCTTTTTTTTTTTTTAGTTTTAAAGAAAAAAAATGCAAAACAATTGTCTAAACAATATTAGCACAAACCTATCTCTTCAATGAACTAAGAAAAATTAGTAGTATATTTTAACTACCTTTTCTATATATATTTTTTTCCTTTTGCTTTTCCTTTTTCTCCATTACCTCAACCTTTTTTTTTTTTTTTTAAAGTTTTTTTTTTCCCCATTTTACAATATCTTTTGTATACTTTGGATATTATTTTACTCTTTTAGCTTTTCACACTAGGGAGACAATATGATGTTTGCATATGCACATTTGATTTATTTCACTTATAAATATGGTCTAGAGTTGCATCCATTTACTTATGAAATTATCAAGTTTATCCCTCTTTAAGGCTGAGTAGTACTCCACTAAAAAGAGTAAGAAGACCACATTTTTGTTATCCACTTCTCAGTTGACAGGCATTTGGATTGTGTCAAGAACTAGCTACTACCAATTGTGCTGCTATAAACATGGGTGCACATATACTGCTGTGATATAATGTTTTTAATTCTTCTGGTAAGATACCCAAAAGGGGAACAGATTGTCAAATGAGACCTCCAATCCTAGTTTTCTGAGGAATCTCCACACTGATTTCCACAGTGGTTGCAGCAGTCTATGCTCCCACCAACAGAAGGATTCCTTTATTTCCCATGGTCTCTCTGGTATTTGTTATTGGTTGGTTGGTTGGTTGCTTGCTTGCTTGCTTTTTTTTTTTCTTGATAATAGTCATTCTTTCCTGGGTGAGATGGAATCTCA